GGCGCCGCCGCGGCCGCGCCTGGCAGCGCGGAGGGCGTGAGCCTTTGGGCTGCACTGTCACCTAGCATAGCGGCGTGGCGCGTCGCTGGCGTCCGCGGGGACCCGGCTGGCGCAGAAGAGCCTGCGCTCGGGGGCGCGGGGGCGGGCGGCGGCGGCGTGCTGGCGTTGTCGCCGGTCGCCGCGGCCCGGCAGGTGCAGGGGGCCGCCCCTGCCCCCCAGGCGCCGCCTGGGAGGGGCAGGAGCGGCAGGAAGCAGCGCGGCGCCGCGGCAGCCCGCGGCGCCACGCCGCCCGCGGCGCAGCTGCCACAGCAGCAGCAGCAGCAGCAGCAGCAGCAGCAGCAGCAGCAGCGGCAGCAGCAGCAGCAGCAGCAGCAGCAGGCCGGCGGCGCGGAGGGCGTGGACCCGGCGCTGTGGGCGGCGTTCCGGCGGCAGGCGGAGGGGCGGGGCGAGGATGACGAGGCGCCGCGCGTTTTCGAGGTGTCGAACCTGCTGGTCGTGGCGCCGGAGGTTGCCTATAAAAGCAAGGCCCAGAAGGACGTCAGGAAGAAGGTGAGGGCGCGCTGGGGTGAGGAGATGCGCGCATGCGCGCGCGCGCATGCCCATCGTCGGCTGCACGGCGGGGTGACCGCGGCGGCGAGGAGGGTTGCCCCTGGGTGCCGTCCCTGTGCCGAAACGTGTGATAACATGAGGCTTCGTGTTGATCGATGCGCAGAGGCGCCGGTTGGGCCCTGCAACCACGCAGCAAGGGCTGCGTGCCGCTAGCGTTGACCTTTTGGACCCCGCGCCGATCGCGCTCGCTCACGCCCCAGCAAGCCCCACTCTCCAAAGCCACCAACCGCTCTGCGCCCCGACCCCTTTTCGCCCCTGACGCGTCGCCGGTGGTCTGCAGATGAAGGCGCTGAACGAGCAGGTGCACGGCCCCAGCGACAACCTGTACCGCGGCTGGGAGGTCCTGGGTGAGCGCCCTGCTGAGTGTGAAAAGTGTTGTTCCACGTGCTGTACGGAAAAAGTGTTGTTGCATGTGTGTGTGTGTGTGTGTGTGTGTGTGTGTGTGTGCGTGCACGTGTTTGCGTGGTACTGAGCGTGAATGCGTGTGTGTTAATGTGTGTGGGGATTTTAGGTGCTTGCATGCGTCCACATCACACACACACACACACACACACACACACACACACACACAAACACACGCACATACACACACATTCACACGTGCACAATCGCACACACAACACACCTGCAGTTCCGAAACCATTCACTCCCACGCACATGCAGTCCCACCCACATGCACCCGCCCACCCACATGCACCCGCCCACCCACATGCATGTTTGTGCGCGCGCCGCCACCCTCCAGGCCACTCTGACCTGGACACGGATGATGATGATGACGAGGAGCTGGAGCTGGACAGCAGCGAGCTCATGGTGAGGGGGGGGGGGACAGGCTGTGTGCGTGTGTTTGTTTGCACACGCATGGGTTGTCTGTGTATGTGCACATGCTGATGTGCCCCTGCACATGCGTGTGCGTGTGCGTGCGTGTGTCTGTCTCCGTGCGTGCGTGCGCGCACGTGCGTGTATGTGTGTGCATGTGTGCATGTGTGCGTGTGTGTGTGTGTGTGTGTGTGTGTGTGAGTGCGTGTTGCGAGCACTCATACTTTTTCGTGTGCGTGCTCGCGTGATTTAGCGTGGCCTGGTTTGCAGGCCGGAGTGGGCTGCTGGCAAGCTTATAGATGCGTTGCGGATAGACGCCCCGCTGCGTGGGCCCGACGCACGCAGTCAGCCGCGTCAGGGCTGCTGGCTCACACCTGCATCCAAGGTCCCTTGCCCGCGCTGCACTCAAAATGCATCCATCCACCTTTCATATCGCTCCAGGATCAAGAGGGGTTTGATGCACAGATGGACGCTGATCTGGACGAGAGCAGCGACGACGAGGACAGCGATGATTATGACGACGACGACGACGACAGCGATGACGACGATGACGACGATGGCGGCGGTGGCCATGACATCATCAGCAGCGACGAGAGCAGTAGCGACGACAGCAGCAGCGACGAGGATAGCAGCGACGATAGCTCTGGCAGCGAGGGCGCGGACGAGGGCGAGTAGGCAGCTGCAGGGCAACGCTGGCAACGCGGGCAAAGCGTGGATGTAGGCGCGGTTTGCGTGCCTGCATGTTGGTTGCCGCCCTGGCCCGTTGCTGCATGGCGATCTGCAGGAGCTGGTTTCCCTGTGCTGTTGAATGGCGCGAGTGTGGCCAGAAATTCGCTGAAAGCATAGAATAAGACAGCCACGGCATGAGCTTTGACACAATGCAGTGCAAAGTGTATTGACTGTAAGCTTGCTGACTGCACAGTCTATCAACTTGTGTTGGTCCGTTCCTTGGCAGCGCAGGGCTGCAGCTGCTTGCAGCGCGCCCCCCACCAACAGGTGGCTTCCGATACCCATTGAAGCAGGGCCTCAGGTGCGCACGCACGAAAGCACACATATCCACATACACACTCGCTCGAGTGCATGCAAGCCCCATGGCATCCCTCAAACTCCAACATAGATGACAGCCCCACAGCATTTCTCAGACTTGCAGGCGCGGATGTGGGGCACTCTTCTAGGGCCCGCGCTCCCTCTTGTGCCGGCTGCCATCCAGGCCACCCCAAGCCTTGATGCTGCTTGAGGCACCTTGATTGACGCTTTGAAGAACACCGGCCTACACGTACACTTTGCTCGGTTAGGCCATATAGAATCCACAGCCCCTGGACTTGCTGGTCAACCACACGTGGGTGAGCGTACGTTTCCGCTCAACTGCAGGCATGCCTTTTTCAATGACTTGTGAATTACGGCAGAGGGCAGCATGCAGGTGATGTGTGCGGATGCTCCTACCTTGCTATAACCGACGCCCTGGCAAGATGCAACTCCTCGTGCGGACCATCGGCGTCTTTTCAGCAACCAAGGCGGGCTGTTGCGGGCCGGTGCAGGCTGGGGCTTGTGCTTTGGCTGTCACGGTGTGCCAGCCCGGAATATATTCTGTCCCCTTCATGATCCAAGTTTTCGTTCGCCTTCATCCCGTCTCAACCCCCTCGCGCCAGCTGGCGCATCCGAGGACTGTGATCTGGCTGTCTCCCGGCGACTCGTGCTGGCATGCTTCAGTGGCCGTTTTTGCCCAACATCGCGTCACAAGGTGCGCAGATTGGTATTAGATATTGCGCTGCACGTATCTCTGGCTGCCCAGGCAGGCCCGTTCCCCGCGCGGTGACTAGGACGCGCACGCGTGCTGTAACCTCGGAACGCGAGCGATTGCGTCACGGCGCACGCGAGGTGCGCTGCTATCCTCCCCTGGCCCTCTTCACTCACGCTCTTCTTATGTTGGCGCCATTTCTGATAGGTCGTACACGCAAATCCTCCCACATTCAGTTTTCCACAATTCCCGAGGATGCAGGCGCAGCAACAACGCGGGGCCATAACCCTCGTCATTGCACTTGCTGCGGCGCTCGCCGCCCATGGCGCCGCCCTCAGCGAGGCGTTCCTGTACAAAATTAAACTCTGCTTTACGGAGACTGGCCGCATCATAGACAAGATGAGGGGCGGCAGGGCACAGGCGGTGCGGCGCCAGATCGCCGAGGTGATGGGCGGGCCCGACGGGCTGCAGGGCGCGCCGGTGGACAGGGTTGTCGCCCTCCTGAAGGATCTGGATGAGGAGTCTGGACATATCACAAGAGAGGTCCAGCTGCAGGGTGGGTGGGGGTGAGGGGTGGCGCTGAGACCCAGGCCCGCTCGCGCCGTGCGCACGGGAGCGCAGGCTTTTCTGTCGGCGCCTGCAACTGCCCGCGGCGTCGACGCCATGCCGCCGCGCGCGGCCTGCTGGCGCCCGCGCAGCGTCGCTGGCTGTCCATGCGGGCCGACTATTGCACCTTCCGACGCCAGTGGGCCGGCAGGCCCGTGCGCCGCGCGCCTCATGTCTTTCCGCCTCCCTCCCCTCGATCCTGCAGGTTTCAGGACCCTGATTGCCACATCGCTGGTTGAGACGTGGGCGCTGAAGCTAGTCGCGCTGGTGATCCACGGGAAGGAGGAAGCGCTGCGCCAGCAGGTGGGCGGATAGAGGATGGGGCGCAGGTGTCGGTAGCTGGGCAACAGGCACACTAGGGATAGGCAGACATCGGGCCACGGCCGTGGCCTCGGCGGGGAGCAACGCGTGCTCATTTTTGACTTTGGGCTCTGCTGAACGGCAGGCGCAGTAATCACTCCAAATCTGCAGTCTCCACAGCAAGTCGTGGCATTTGAATCGGTTTTCAAAAGCATGTGCGCGTGCTTGACTGTGATTGCGCATGCGATCAGGGCTGCGGTTGCAGCGCGCTCTCCCCACCACCGAATGCTACCACCCAGGGTCCCCGTGAGCCAGTGTGCTCATGCACACTGAGCTCCCCCTGCTTGAGCACACAGTGCCCCATACAAAGGCTCACGACCTGGAGAACCCCTCACCTCGCCCACCCAATCCAGACCCCTGCACCCAGCCACCCCCCCTCCCTCGACCCCGCTCCCTGCGGCCTCCCTCCCCCCTATCAGAGGGCGCAGGCGCCCATGACCGCGGCGCAAGCGGCAGACTTCATCGCCGCCGACCTCGACCGCCTGAACATCAGGCGCCCGCAGGAGCTGGCCAGCGTGGACAATGCCGTCGAGCAGCTCTACAGGCATCTGTACATGGAGGTGCCCGACGACATGGGGGACGAGGACGAGGAGGAGTTCGTCGGCCTCAAGTGGTGAAGGGCCGGCGGCGCGCGCCGCGCGCCCGCGAGCTGCGTGCCGCGAGAGGGGCGCGGAAGCAAGAAGGCTGGCTAGCGCGCAGCCGGCCGGCCAGGCTCTTGTCATCGTCAGTGCTTGGCGGCCGTGCGTGCTGGCAAAGCGGCAGTGGCCTTTAGGGGCCGGGCGCAGCAAAGGCATTTCTCCTTCGCCACGATCCGTCTTCAATTTGGGCAGCCAGCCACCCTTTCATATTTTGTTTGCTGGCTTCACCATAACTCGCTTTGGCCTTGAGGTCCCACCTGTGCAGTCATGGCTGGGCCGTGCGCTCCCCTGGCGGTCTTTGTTTCCCGCTTATTGGTTGTCACACCCGTCCAGCCACGGCCCTGCCACGCCTGCCACCGCTGGTGCGGCATGACACCAGGCTCCACACGTGTCCCCAAAAATTGGAGCGGCGGCCCGGCCCGGGGCGTACATAACAGTGCATGCTCTGACAGCCTTGAGTGTTTGAAGCTGCGGCGCATGCCTTTGACCTGGAGGGTTCCAGCAGGATTCCCGGCCAGCATTTCAAGGGGTGTGATGCATGCTTGATTGCACCCCTCGTTCACGCGGCTGTAGACCTCGTCGGCATAGTGTGTTGTGGCGTGTCCCAACGTCATCAGGCTGCAAGCACCCCATGCTCAACATTTCATCTTGCACCAACCATCAAACTGTATGTGGGATTTAGGCAAGTGTGGGCCAGGCATTCATTCCCACCAATTCAGCATCTCTGGGTAGTAAACTTAGTAATTCGAGGCGGTAGCCTTGCTTGCTTGTTGCACGGGCCTACAGGCTGTGAGCATCATGCTAGTATCAGGCACATCAGTCTTGTGGTTAAGCAGTCATTGCTGGCTGATTTGCAGTGTTGTGATCAGCCACCAGCTGGCAAACACAGCGTCTGGCAAGAATGGCTGCCTTCACCTCAGGTATCATGCTCTACCTGGTTACTGCCCGCTCGTTGAAGCTAGGACTTAAGATCCCAACATGTTACACACGGAGCAGCGAGAAGCAGATAGCAGCCGAGAACAGCAGGCAAGCACCAAAGCATCCCTCTCTCATTCCTATTCAAGGTCGACATAGACCAGCTTGTGCGCATCGTCCACCGTGTCTTGCAGCTGCTGCTTGCGGCCGACTTGCCACGCAAAGCAGTCCAAACCAGTCCTGGGGGTCTTGTCTCCGAGCTCAGAGCGCAGAACTCTGAGTGCTTTGCCCAGTCTTTCGGCCTCCACCTTGAAGCACATGTCCGGTGTAGACGCTGCTCGCGCGCAGCACCCTGCTTGCAGCTCCGCCATCGCCGCCACTGCCGCATCCATAAAGCAGCCGGTGTATGCGCTGTCAGCCCCGTTCTCGCACGCCGCTGCATCAATCAGGTCATCACGGCCGCCGCCACCGCCTCCGCCACCGCTGCCGCCGCCGGCTGCCGCTGCGCCCCCGCCCCTGCCCTTGCCGGCTGGGCCGCTGTGCGCGCGGCGCACGAGTGGCGACTCCAGCAGCTCCTGCGCTGTGGGGCGCTTCCCGGGGTCGCGCCACAGGCAGCTGCATATGAAGCAGCACACGTCTGCGTCGAGGTCCCGGCCAAGAATGCTGCGTGCGACACAATTCAGCTGGCTGGGGGTGGGCCCGTCGGCGCCGTCCGGCGTTGCGGCCTTGACCAGAACCGGCAGCGGGGCGCTCATGCGCTGGATCCCAAGAGCAAGTCCCAGCCCCGTGCAGCCCAGAGCCCAAACGTCCTCCTCCTTGGTCAGGCTCCCGCCCTTCGCGGCCGGCGTAGCTGCTTCGCGCTCGGGGCTGACGTGGGAAAATTGAGCTGGTCCCAACAGGCTGCCGTTGTGGAAGGGTGCAGCGCCTCCGTCATTGTCGCTTGCCACCAAGGTCTCCTGCGCGAATACACACACCCACAAGTTGTTGAGCACGATGTCAGTCAGCGGCTGCTGTTTGGACATGAAGATTGTTCAACAACACTGACAGCTGGGCACTCAGCCATGCACAGATCCTGGTGCTTGGGCAACTGCTCACCTTGCCATCTGTTCCCAGCACGTACATCCAATTGTCCGCTGCGAGGCAAAAAGGGAAGTGTGATGATGTGTTGGTCATGTGAAGGCAGGGTCCAGTTCTCTGGTGACAGAGAACAAGCCAGCATGCCAGCAAACACCACCGTATGGATACGACTTCCAATATTTCAGTCCGCCAGCATCAGCAGTCGGCCTTTGCAGCTGGCATGCATGCTCGCGCACGCGCATGCAATCAAGGGTGGATGTGCTCACACGCACATGCACACTACTCCTCCACACACGCCCCTGTCCGGCCGCTGTTGACCCGCTCGCCCATAAATGCACGCTCACACGCACCCACAACCTACTTCACGCACAATCACTAAATTGTCAGGTCCACAACTCCACACCACAGTCAAATGCGCATGCGAGCTCCAGCTAAACCGCAAGGCACCCGCTCCCCGGGGCCCCCATCCACCCACCCTTGTAGTCTCCGACCACCATCCCGGCATCGTGGATCTCAGCTGTCCCCTCCAACATGCCTGCGACGGCCTGAACCAGCATGCTGACTGATGGGGGCGCGCAGCGCCAAACCAGCAGCCTGTCCTGTCCCTCATTCCGGCGCGGAGTCGGCCCCGCCCCAGCATCCACCAGGCAGGGCAGCACCTGCTGGCCACGCTGCAGCTGCTGCGTGAGGGTGCACCTCCCCCACGGCATGAACACTTGGAGCATGTGTGGCGCGGCGCCGACGCTCCAGAGCGGCATGCTGCCGTCCAGCAGGTTGGTGAGGGCGGCTGCCCGGGCCAGGCGCCCCGCCGCCGCCACCAGACCTTCTTTGCCGGTCCGCCGCATGATCACCTTCATACACCCACTGACGCCGTCCAGCTGCAGCAAGCGCGCCGCGCCGCCGGCCAGGCGGAGGCTCACCTCTGCCGTAGAGCCGAACACGCCAGAGCCGCCGAGGACCCCTGACGAGACCGGCACAAACGGCACGCCAGACCACAACAGGGCATTGTTGCCGCCTGTGACATCAAATGTGTGTGTGTGTGTATATGTGTGTGTGTGTGTATGTGTGTGTGTGTGTGTGTGTGTGTGTGTGTGTGTGTGTGTGTGTGTGCGCACGCGTGCGTGCGTGCGTACGTGCGTGCGTCCGTGCGCGCATGCATGCTGGCGGCAAGGGGTGCATGCGTGTTGGCTCGACCAGTCAGGTGTGTATGCGTGTGGGGCCCCCCAGTCACGCCCCATCTACAAACGCCACCTTCGTTCCGCCCACTGCATACCTCCGTGCAGCGGCAGCAGCGGTAGCCCCTTGCCCCCGTCCAGGCCCTTTGCAGCCAGGTACATGCGCAGCCGCAGCTCCACCTCGGGGTGCAAACCGCCACGGGTGCTCGCCAGCTGCTCCACCGCTGTAATGCCGGGTTGTAGGGTAGATGCATGTTTAAATATCGTGTGCAAGTCCATGGCAAATCAGAGTCGACACTGATGTTTGAAGCCCAAAATGATGCTGGACTGCATGCAGATTCCATTTGCATATCAAAGCTGCACAACTGTAGGACTTGCTCTGAGCAGCTGGCGATGAGAATGCAACACCAGACTGCTGGCCACTCTGAGCCAAAGATGACTTTATCCCTCCCACCTGCTGCGTCCATCGAGCAGTAGCCCTGAACAGCGTGGAGGGCCGACGCCACCATCCTGAGCAGGCCCTCCACCATGCCGCACGGACACTCGGGCCCGGCGGCGCGCCTCGCCTCCGCGCAGCAGTCCAGCATCATGCTGGCCAGGATGGCCGTCGCCCGCTGCGCCTCGGCTGAAAGCGGCAGGGTACAGTACTGCAGCGCCTCAAGGTGCCTGCGCATGAGCTGCTTTGCAGGGGTCGCGTCGCCACGCACCGCTGCCAGCAGGGCGTTCTGTAGCGGGAGCTCCTGGTAGATGTCGCGAATCATTGCCGCGGCGCCGGCCGCTGCTCCACCAAAATCAACCTTGACGCTGTTCCCGCCTGCCACCCAAGATTTGACGTCGTTCGCCTCACTGGTGGTGGCCGCGTCCGCCACGCCGCCTCCAGAACCCTTGCCTCGCTCTTCAAGGTCGCCTCCCTCCATCTTGCCGTTAGCCTCCAGCAGCTCGCACAGCATTGGAAGTTCAAGCGGCCGCGCCTCGGCCTGCGGTGATAGGCATCACAGTTGCACTCTGTCGGCGCCAATCAGTCACAGTGCAAACATTTGCTGCAAGGTAAGAGTCTACCTGGTGATGCCAGCTGTGGCATAGATCAACACTCTCTGATTTGTTGAAATTTCGACAACAATTGCCACAATGGACCAGTCATCATCCATCTATTGCATTTTGCAACAAAGCTGATGGCAAGTATAGTGGTAGGTGCGAGGCAGGTGTAGGTGCTGCAAATACACTGCACTATGCTCCCCTTTTGCAGTGTCTTTGTGTGTTGAATGGTGCACGTGCAAGCGCATCTCACCTCGCTGCACGCCCTGCAGTCCTCTTGATGCTTCTTAAAGCACACTACACCGCAGCACCAGGCCTTGGAGCACCCCTCGGCACAGCATATGCCGCCCTCCTGGACGCCGCTTGTGAGCCTGCCAACTCGCTTGCGGCTTGGGCCTGCGCCATCGATTGCAGCCGCACATGCTGTTCCGCAGGGGCAAAACGGACGCTTGTTGAAGAGCTGCTTGAGCACTGCTGCTGATGCTGCTGATTGTGTTGATACCACTGCTTGAGCCGTAGATGCAGCTGCTGACGCCATTGTCTTGAGGGGACCATCCGCCACCACTGCTGCCTCTTCTGCCGCCAGCGCAGGTGGCGGTGCGGGCACGCTTTTGCGGCGTGCCAGCTTCATGGCCGGGACGACGACAGTCTTTGTGCCTGGATACTCTGCTTCCGTTCCCTTCTCCAGAAGCTCATGCAGCCGCTTCTTGCCGGGCTGGACCAGCAGGTCCGCAGCTTGAGGCAGCACATCGGCGGGATCGCCACCGCCCTGCACGTCGCCGGCTGGATCTATATTGATGCCCACTTTATTAAGGTACCGCTCCAGATGATCCCACTCCAGCTGTCTGGGCTCAGACTTTGCAGGTAAACATGGCAGAGAGGAGTGTGGGTGACGAGCGTGCTGTAGCCCCACGCCGTCGTGCATGCGACAAATGAGCAAGTGCATGACAACGTCCTGTCGCGCACCTCAATGCACTCCAGGCACTGCTTCTGGTGCTCCTTGAAGCATGCCGTGCTGCACACCCATCTGCAGCTGCATTCGCTGCTGGGAACACATCCGCCGCTCCCGTCCTGCCTCAGCAGCTCGTAAATGCGGCGCCTCTGACCGTACACGCCCTCTGCCTTGATGCAGCGCTCTCCGCAAGGGCACCGTAGCTGTTTTGTCAGGGACATACTTCGAGTTTGAGATGGTTCTGATGGCAAAGTACTTTTTCGCATGTGTGTGGAATTTTATGATAGACCTATCTGTCTGGGTTTGACTCGAGACAACCAGGCTACTGCAATAATGCGATTGAAAATGAGAGCCTGTAATTGAACCCGAAATGTACAACATGATATCTTCGCCGAGCTAACACAAATGCATATGACAGTGTCATACCATACGATCTGCCGAGCTTCTCAAAATCATTTCAAAAGTTTTTGTGCTCAACATCAAATATCTCGACAGCCAAGGTACTCCCAGGAGGCAGCGGGGCACGCGGCCATTGCCCGCACTACCGTACGCAATCTGCTGATCTGCACACTCGCGTTTCAGTCGCCCGACCGGGCCGCGCGACCCGACCCGACGCAGAGGCCCCGCTCGGCACACTTGCGCCTCGCAGCGGTCGCAAAAGAGTCATATGTACGGTGTAACCGCTCTGAAGCTGCGGCCACTGCCGCATAGCATCAAGGCGCCGTGGCCCACTGCCGGGCAGCTGGTGCTCTGCAGGCGCCGCGTGACGCCGCCTCCGAGAGAGACATGCGCCGCCAGCAGTGCTGCGGGGCAGCGAGACAGGCACAGAGGAAGCGCCTCTGGCATTGACGGCAGCGGCGGCGGCGGCGCTGTGCTGCGATGCGCTCAGCCTGCACAGACGTCTGAGGCGGCGCAAGCGATGGCGGCGAATCATGCAGGGGCGCCGCCAGCAGCTGCGGCGACGTGTTTGTGAGCGTGGGATAGGGCCCAGACGAGGCCGACAATCTGGAACTGCCTGCGGCGGGACCCGACGAGGCGGTGCCGGCGCGACGCCAGGCAAGTTCGCCGACGTACGCTTGCACGGGCGCGCCTGCGCTGCCGGCCGGCAGCCGAGCCGATTGGCGCGGCCGCCGCCGCCGTCGCCAGGCGCAATGCGCTTGGAGATGCGAAGATTGAGCCCGGTGGCCGCCACTGCCGCCTCGTCCAACGAGCAACGTCCGCCCCCGCTGCACACAACCACAGGCCTGCACGGCAGCGCTGAGCGGCACCTCTAAGCCGAGCCGCGCTTT